CCCATTTTCAGAAGTGAATTAGGAAAGTCGCAAAGGAATGATATCATATTCAGTATGCTGTTCACTTACATCACAGTCCTGAATAAAAGTGAATGTATACCAATGCAGAGAGCTTTAGAATGTATCTTTTATGTCTCAAAGAACCAAAACCCCTTATATTATGCAAAACCTGAAAAAAAAGCAATATACCAATCTAATAATCTCATATCATATATCTTTTCTTAGCAGTAATAAAAGATTTTTATTCATATGGTAACTACATTTACATCTATATTAGTAGATACACTTGATTTTGTCAACTTAGTAGAGCAATGATAATAATAAAATAATAAAAGCAGCTAATTTATAAGGCACTTCACATGTTTCGGTCACTATTCAAAGCCCTTTACCATGTCTGAATTCATTTCTTTCTCACAACAGAGCTTCGAGCTAGCCGCTACCATGATTCCCACTAGTTTGATTTCAAGTGCTTATATATTTTAATTACTCACTAAGACCAAATCTTTCTTGCTCAACAACTATGTAAACAATTCGCCGATGTTCAAACACTTCTTCATCCCTCTCGGCAATATACGTAAAGACAGAGATAACAGACTGTCTGTACAGTTGTACAAGTTCGATAAATGCATCCCTACTAATATGTTCGTTTTTAATGCTGTTCAAACATTCACATGGAAACAGCTCTAGCGTAAATATCCCCGAACAAATGGCTGTATATTATCCAGGAGGGAGCAGTTGGACCGCCAGACTGGGGAAGTACTAGGCCATCTGGCTCCGGCAATCTCTCCAAAACCATCAGCTTTGTTTTCACCCCCAGACTCCAAACAACACATTTTCCACTGTGATGAGTTTATATTTTCCCAAACACAGGTCCTGATCATGCATAAAAATTCCAAACTTCTTCATTCCTCTATGTGCAAAGAAATTCAAATCACCTGCACTTCTCACATGGTATCAAAGGAGACAGAAAGCTGCTGAAATATGGCCCCTGGTTAGAAACTTGCTCCATCCTTTCTGTTTGTTTCTCCAAATACATGGAAGGGTCTCTGCACTGGCCTAGGGACTTCCTTGGAACCTACTGATATGTTAAAAATGTGCTTATTTACCACCGAAGAACTATGAACTGAAAGGGTTGTTAATCAAGTCTATGAAGATGTGGCAGCATATAATGAAACAATCAATAAAGAAAAATGCATTTGTATCAATAACTTAAAGAACTGGGAACATCAAAAACAAATATATAAAGAGGTCTGACTGGGAGGAGCAATCTGAGGGGGTTTCCCTTCACTGTGCCTTGGAGCCTGCAGTGTCAGGACCTTTCCAGGATTCCCTTACCGCATTTCCTACCTTTAAATCCATACATGGAAGGATTATGTGACCACTCCTTATTTCTCTTCAAAAACACTATTATTTCAGGGCAGGCAATATAGCATTTTTGATAACTTCATGGAATTTGATATCCTGCAAGGACTACTGTAAAAAATGTTACTCTTTTCAAGTCAGATGGATGGAAAAGAGGGAAGATGAGCTAAAGTTCTGTTTTCTAACTATATATGTTGTTTGCTAACTACACAAAGATAAATACCTTGCTGAAACAATCCCATACCGTAATCCTATTTCAAGCTCTATGAGAAAATCTGAAATGAGATGCATCAGTCTCAGACCTCCCCCACCGGGCTCATTGGACTTCTGGGGTAGATACTGTTTCTGGATGCAGCAGACATAAACTTCTGGATCCTACAGGGGCTTTTGCATGCTCCCTAATAGAATACCAAAAGCAGCAATGACATGAAAACAATCTATTTTTAGTCCAGCTAAGCTTGGTTTTGAGCAACCCTTCCCAAAAGTAAAACTTGTTTTCTAGTTGGTAGACAGTTTAAAAAAAAAAATACTATGTCTTATGTATTTTATGAAGGAGACTTAGGGATAAGGAACCTCAGATCTTTACAAATTCACTTCTAATGAAACTTCTTCCTTCCTAGTAAAGCCCAAAACTAAGAGTCTTTACCCAAAGGAGACTAATGAGACACTTTGAAAAGGTGTGAAATACTGTGTCATACCAATACACCTTGGTTGATTGAGTACATTTCTTTTTGATCTCAGTGTTTCTAACTCCAATTTAGATCAGGAATAATGTATGAAAATGTATGAAAATGCATAGCTAGTTTTGCACGTTGCTGGCCCATGATTCCTTTTCAATTTCAACATCAGCACATGCATCAGGGTTATGGTATCACAAACACAAAATCATATCTTCGGTATTAAAACACTATTATAAAGTAACTAAGCAGAGGCCATTGGACAATAAATAAGTATTCTCCCCACAATTATACTCTTATTAGAATGTATCACATAGCGAAAAGTATTCTATTCTGTGCTGTAAAAATCAAAATCTGGAGGAATTTCACAGAAGAAAAATGTAACCATGTAACCATGTTATCTTTTGCCAAAATTTATATCTAATGGAAGGGGCCTCTGTGTATTTAAGTAAACATCAAAATTTTAAGAATTTTAAATCAGAGTGGGTATGACATTATACAGTAATGTGAAGGTAAGTGAGGAAACACTTTCATTCATTGGGGCTGATTATCAATTATTATGTCACAGGTAGGAAAAGTTAGGCGCCTTCACACTGATCTCTGTGTCCTGGGAGACCACTTTACTCGCTATGTGCACAAGAGGCTAAGCTACTTCCAAACCTTGTACAGCACTAAGCAAAGGACGAGCAGCTAGCATGACTGCTTCCAAAGTGAAAGCTGCAGAGAAGGTGGTTACTTAAACAACCATTACGAAAGCACACAGGTATAGCTTGAAATTTCCCTTTTCTGGATATTTTTACACTAACTGAGGTAATTACTAACCCTTTTTCGGGTCACTTCACACCAAAAAATATAATTGCATATATGGCAACTGACTCTCTCATACTTGCTGTTATAAAAACAAACCACATTTTCTCCTTTTCTCTCTGTCTCCTTTCTGTGGCTTTTTAAAAAGTTCTGTCACCTTGTTAGTGAAATGTATTTGATGTGCTGCTTTACAGAAATCAAAAGATTATTCTCTCCTCCACTTTCATATGCATGTGTAAAGTCAATTAATTTCATAATGGGAAAAATCAATCCTTGACCACACACTTTGGATAGCAGGATCTAAAATAAAGTTTTAAAGAGGTTTAAATCAGACAGCATCCCTTCAAATATGACCTAATTGGGGGCATAATTTTAAAAACTGTTCAATTCACAGCACTACTTATAATTTAACATTTAAGAAGTCAGTGCTGCACAAGCCTTACATACTTCTTGGTGTGTGCTTTGGTATCTTTTGAAAAATAGATCCTAATCAATACATACGTGCTATGTATTAGAGCTCAACTGTCCTCCTCCTTTCTCTCTCCATGAGAATACCAGGAAAAGATATCCAAAATTTCAAAGGCAATTTTGAAAACTCTACCTAAGACTTTGTATCTTTTCTTGGTATTTTAAAAGAAAAAAAAAAAAAGTAACTGAAATGAGGCTTTTGTGTTTCTGTTTGGCAGGAAACAAATTTAAATAAAAAAAAAAATAGTGTCCAAATGAAAGACAGAGAATTATCCTACCTGATAATACAAGCCAATGAAAGAAAATAAGGCCCAGGCTGAAAGTATAAATGGGATTGAATCCAAGCTATCAATTACAAAATAAACAGAATCTTCAAGAAATGATAAAATTTTACAGAAATACCATGAAATTGATCTTAATAGATATTTATTTATTAATTTTAAAAGCAGATTTCATATCGCCTATTCTGCTGCTTGGGTCACAGTGAAATATAAGTGTAATAATCCAAATTAGTGTTATTAAGTTAAGGTTTTTGCTGAATACACTTTAAAACTCTCCACAATTCAATATGCATTTTGTACAACATATTTCAGACGGGGCCTATTGAAAAGCAAATTTTAAATATGCATGTATTCCTTACTTTGGAACTTTCTGAGCCACCTTCCTTATGAAAAAAGGTCAGCTCCCTTACTATAAAATGGAAACATTTAAAAATAACTAGCAAATAAACAAATTTGAATCTCCTTACTAAATTGCTGGCTAGGTAAGAGCCACTATCTTCACGAGCGTGAAGACTTTGTTCGACTTCTTTCTCTCACCCAATAAAGCTGTCTTACTTCTGCTACTAAGTTCTCCAACTACCTAACCAACTACTTCACTCTGAAACTAAACATTTTTAAAAAATTAAGGATAGGAGGGGAAAAAAACAACAACTTCTGTGCCTCATTAAAATGTCAGGCCTCTCTTCTGACTCGGCTCATAATTGTATCTTTTAAATCATAACTCATCTTTAATGTATACTGCCTGACACCCGCGTGTTGAGGAGCTTAAGGAAACGCGTCTATGTACCTTTAAGACCGCAAGCTCACTCATGCTGCCTGGCTTCCTGCCAGGCTTGGAAGCAAAAGCGGGTGGATTTTTTGCAAAATATCCTCTTAACAATTGTTGCTCCCTATTCCGATACTACCCTCCAAGACATCCCCTTTTTAAAAAATCTGTGCAGTAGTCCTCTGCGCTCTCCACCCACCTCCCCTTTCCTGGGGAGGCCGCCTGGACCCCCATCCTCTGGCTCCTCCACTCTGGGCCTCCGAGGTTAGGCCCGGCTGGCTCGGGTTTCAGAAGTGGAGTTCTGGCGGCCCAGGGGTTCCTGGGCACCCTTGGCACCCCCTGGCGCTCCCGGGTCCAGCCAGAGGAAGTACAGCCCTGAGCGCCTGCCCTCGGTGCGAGGGGCTGAGCCGCAGGGCCCAGCTTCCCTCCAGCTACTGCGCCCTCGAGCCTTCCCGCCCACGCGGAGGCGCAAGTGTGCGCGGGCCTGGGAAGCGCGCTGCGGGCGAGGTCCCAGGTCCACCCGGGGTTTTAGAGTTTGAGCTCCGGCCCTCCCGCCTGCAGCAGCCGACTACACGACGCTCCCCGAATCTCGTGACCCCAGTGTCACCCCCAGGGCGCGTGCAGAATTAGGAAACTTACTTGTTTTGTCATGGAGTCAATGAGGCGCACGTAGAAGTCTTGTTCTGTCCTTATCCCTAGAGGGAAAATGAGGACAGGAGGAGGAATGAGTGGGAGGGACTGGGCCTGAGAGGAGCAACTAAACAAAACCAACTACTACTGCTACACACAAAGAAAGGGGTCCAGCACGGATTGGAACTCCTGTTGTCCCGAAAGGCACCACAGGACTCCCTAGTGCTCTACCCAGAGAGGAGCCCTGGCCTCTGGCAAGCCTGACTGCAGGGTCGGCCGCTAGTAATGGGACAGGGCACCCGCTTGGCTACTCTTCTTTGGCGGACAGCAGTCCCTCTGCGTCCCCCGTGGCTGCCACCGCTCCCAGGCCCCTAAGCCTAAGGAGCACTTGGGCCTGGTGTTTTTAAGCTGAAACGACAGGCCTCTAGGAGGGGAGAAGGAATGAAAGCGGCCCGGGAAGAGCTGAAGCGCTACACCTGGCCTCAGGTAACAGCCCTGGGGCGACTAGGACCCTCCAAAGGTGAAGTTTCCTAGCAGGAAAATTAAGAGAGGCCGGTTCTCCTAGAGGAAAGGGGACCACTGCACTTCGCTGGGGGGCTTCCTCTACTTGGAGCTGCCTGAGCCCTCGTCCTGCCCCGAGCCCCAGCGCGCCGGCGCAGACCCAGTAGGACCCTCACCGTTGCTGTACAGGAGCTGGAGCCGGTAGTGAATCCCGTTATTGGTCTTTTCGCTGTTGGCTTCCTAGTTTGTAGCAGGACGAAAAGACACAGGAGACGCAGGAAAGAGGCCGCGTGAGCAAGTGGACCACAGTAACGGCAACTTTCCCCCTTTCCCAAGCCAGGACCCCTAGTGAGTGAGCCGGTCAGCCCGGTAGCAGCAGACATTAGGGCAAATTGTGACCCCTCCTCCACCCCATCCCAAACAGCTGTCTCCCTTTCGAGAAAATTCCTCGAGGCGAGCACTGGTGATCCTCGACCCAGGGTCTGGGGACTCAGGCCTGTGCCTTCAGAAGCAGGCGCTGCATGGTTTGGGAGTCCAGAACGGGCTTATGCCAGGCGCCATGGCTCCAGGCTGTGAACCTGGGTCACCTGGTTCCAGTTCGGCACTCGGTGCGAACTTTTTGGAGCAAGACCCCATGGACCGGAAGCCCAGATTCGCCCGGGACGGGAAGTGGCTTCGGGGGAGCCCTCATGGGAGTGTGTGATGAATGCTTCGCACTCACAGAGGAGCACCCTATCTGGGCGCCTGAGCCTCCTCCCCAGCCAGGGACAAGGGAGGCAGCACTGCGCCCACTTACTTTTTCCTTCTCCACGAACCCCACAAAGGCTGTCCTCTCGATCTCCACGGGCTGGCCCTGTCTGTCGTAGAGGGCCAGGACGAAGTGGAAGAAGTTGGATTTCCGCAGATTGGAAGGCGGCTGCTTCTCAAAGTGAGCCCGGGCCAGACCCACCCCGCTGTGGCCAAAGACTCAGAGTTAGACCGCTAAGCCGGAGCCACCCGCGCCTCCCTTGCCACCCACAACTTAAAAGCGGCCCCTCAAACATCCACCTTCTCTGTCCCCAAAACATCCAGTGGGCGCCCTTCTCGACCCCTCAGGCGCTCCAGGTGCAGACAACGCCCAGACACCTATGCCCCTGCGCGTGCCGGTCCACCCAGCCCAGGACAGAGCACGTCCTCAGAACAAGCCAAAGAGGTGTGAAAGTTTTGTTCGGGTTTTGTGCGCGAGGCAAAGCTCTGTTAACTTGTACCCTGACCCGCAGCGCGCTGCGTGGGGAGGAAGAAAGTGGAGATGGATGAGGTGAAACTAGTAGGCTCCGAGCAAAAAGCTCAAGGTTCACAACTTAGGAGGAGGGGGCATGGAACAGGGTTCGCTTCTCCTTCGAATCTCGCCTGTGAGGTACCGGGCAGGTGGGAAGGGTGGGGACGCTCTACCTGCTCCAAGCTACAGCCACCCTCCCGGAGAACTCCCGCTTCTCGGGCAACAGCGGGCGCCAGCCTCGGAAGCTAAATTTCCATCCCAGAAAAAGGCTTGTGAAGAGTACTAGGGTTCGACTCAGAGCTGTCGGGGTTTGGCTCATGTGGGTAAAAGAACTGGGATGTTTTGGATAGACCTGTGTGGACGAAGTTTTGCTGTTCTCCTGAAATCCTCATAGTCATTCCAGAAATCCTAAGGGCTTCTGGCGGAGCGCGCCCGCCCGACACTGCAGTGATGAGCGCCCGGGGCGCCGGTGGCCACTGACAGCGGACCTGACCCGCACGGGCGCACTGAGCCACAGACAGACACAGACACGCGCGCCGCGCACACTCACTTTCGCTTCCAGCCCAGCCACCCAATTCACTCTCACTACCAACCACCCCCAACCTTTTGCTGAGCGGAGATGGGAACAGAGCAGGGAACACTTGTCTCTAGCCCCGGGAAGCTAGAGATGATGTAATTAGTCATTTTCCTTCTTCCCCTTCCGCACTCTCTGCATCCGATAGGGCCTGGGGCCACGAGATTCCCACTCTCTGAAGCCCATCCGCTGGCCAGGAATTAAGAGGGGATCATTTCTCACTCAGGACCCTGAGCTCCAGAAAAGGGTACTGGGTGTGCCCAGAAAAGTTCCTCAAGTCAGCCCCCCAGGGCAGTGGCTCCAGGCCACCCTGTCCTGCATCTTGGGGAGCTTCCAGGGTCACAGGGGCTGGAAGGGGCCAGGGTGACAGGGGGTGGGAACACCTCTAGGAGATGTCAGAATTAAAGTTGGGAGCCGCTATTTCTCAGGATGGACTGAGAAAAACCGAGACTAGAAAGAGGGAGGGAGAACCCGCTAGGAGAAACAAGAGAAGACTCCAGGGAGAAAAAACAGAAAAGACAGGGAGGGAAGGAAAGCAGAGGAGAGGAAAGCATGGAGAAAGAAGAGAATGAAAGGTGGAAGGGAGGAAAGGAGGATTGAAGGCGACCAGAGAAGGCAGAGAAGGGTATTAAAGAAGGGGAAGAAAAGAAAAGGGAGAAAGAAAAGGAAAAATGGAAAGGAGAGGGGAAGAAAGAGTGGAAGGAGCAGAGAGAACAGAATAAAATACAAAGCAAAAGAGAATGATGGAAGAAAAAAGACGGAGAACAGAAGGAGAAAGAAAAGAAAAAGAGGAAGGAAAGAAAGAAAATGAAGCCAGCCAGGAAAGAAAAAGCAATCTCGCAAAAACACAGACATCCAACATCACGCTGGTCCAGACGCCTCTTCTAGGGTAAAACAAAATGAAAACAGTTGCAGCCGAAGCGGCGGAGAGCGCCGGCCAAGCGCGAGCTCCTCGCCTCCGGCCGCGGCGACGTGAGCGGCGCAGCCCGGGAGCGCGGAGCCCCGGGGCGAGCGGCGCG